ATAATTTATCGAAACAAGTAATGTACGATGTAAGTACACGCGATGTTACGAAACTACATAAATTATAACTAATAAATTACTATCCCATAAATAAGAATAAAGTTAATGGCTTTAGGACATCGACCACACATATTTATCAAACACGGTTCTATACGTGAAGATTGACTTTGCAATGATTCTTGATTTGAATCGGGAATCTTTTTAAAAGCATACTCTGTAACACACGTTTATGTATGATAAAAACAGCACAATGCAAATGGGATTATTCGCGAAGCGCGTAATTGATAAGTCTATTTGCGAAATGAATTTTTTCGTAAATTCGTTTTATAAATTCTGACGTAGACAAATTGTCTATAATGACTTCTAAATATGAATTATTCTTCTTGATTTCAATTTATATTGATAATATGGACGCGCTCTTAATGGAATATCTTATCAGTCATATTATTGTCGAGAAGAGATATGTTGAAGTGTTGAATTACTTATGGTTCACTAAGAGTTCATTTTTACTTCTATCTTCATTAGATTATGTACTGATGGCTTAAAAAAAAAACCGAAACATTTGTACGGATTATGATGATCGATATTTGTGAGAAGATAAAATGTACAATGGAATAAATATATTTTGAATATTAAAAATTGTATACGCTAACATATTTGCTCTCAGTTATACTTTTCCTTATTATGAATATTTCATTTTAAACATTGAAGCTCGAGAATTATTTTATTTTATTAATGAATTCGTTCCGATTTTCTACATGAGCAGTAAAAGCTACATGAAATAAATTTTCATCGAATTTACAGATCGGGAAAATATCAATTTTCGTTTGCACGTGCACAAGATTTCAATATTACGAGACAAAAAGAGAATTCGTGTTGTAGCTTGCATTCTCTATCGCATCGCCGCAATCTCATGTCTGTTATCAATAGAGCAACGATACCGCATGCAATGATATCGTTATTATCCCGTAATGACGTTTGATACCACCGGTTCTTTTAACCCACTATCCTAATTTAGGTTCTCAGCTATCTCATTGTTTTCCTGTTCGTATCGTTTATTTTTTAGGATCGTTACTTTCCACAATGCATTGTTCTCTGCTTTCCTTTTAATGAGAAACGCTAAACAGTAAATTAAATAATTATTATAATATATATCGAGCTAATAATTTTACAATTTGTATGTCCTCAAAAATATGAATAAATATGAAATATTTTGTATTTTAGTTGCACCAATATTTTAACAAAAATTTTTATTTGCGATCTCCGGAAAATAAATGGAAAATAATTAAAAAAATTATAAACAAGAAAAACCGAGAATACCAAATTTACTAAAAAATGTATAAGTTAATCTAGAATATTTTGTGTATAATGTTTTATAAAGCATATTTTGATTAATATTGAGATAATATTGAGATTGAGATTTAAAAAAAATGTTAATACTTAATAATGTTTATTGTATAAATTTATACATTTAAAATATAATAAATTAGTTCCATTTTTTTCTATTTATATTTATTATTTTTTTAATTTTTATGAAATGTAGAGGAACATGTATTTCCTGCAATTTGTTACGTAAAAGAAATGAAATTAAAGGTTATTAGAAAATTGATCGTAAAAATTTTATACACATAAAAAGTAATTATTAAATTTTGTCCTTATAAAATTTTCTTTTCAATTTTGATTATTTATAAAAAATTTATATAGAATTGCATGTACAAAATACATGTTTTATTCACATATTTCTCTGAAAATTTACTTCCTTTATCAAGATGATCGGATAGATTTACATATATATAATGTACATATAATAATATTAACATTAAATAAGTTTATCCATTATATACAAGCTATATTTTTAGATGTCTGTACAATCGAAAAAATAATAGCCATTCGAAAAATAATAATTTGAAAAAATAAAATATTCTCTTTTCATAAAATTATGTACGTAAAAATATAACATATTTTGACATTTAATATGTTTTATACTATATATGTATAAATATTTGAGCTGCAATAGCATAATCGCGTGCAAGGAATGTGTTTCTATGAATATGTATGAATGTGTTTCTTATCGGCTGTTATCATAACAGGCGTCATCGTGTTGCATCGCTTATTATTTTTTTAATATTACGCAAGTGCTTCGAGTCAAGTTGCTTGAACTAACGTTGCGGAAAATAAAGATTTGCCCTTTTTTGTTATCTTCCGTTATTTTTTAAGCCGCATGATTTTTTTGGGAGCAGTTAGTATCACGAAGTAGATTACGTATATCACGAAGTAGATTGCGTTTTAATGGGCCTTTTGTTCCGATAGAAACCATCGACATTTAAAATTAATGACACACACACACACACACACTCTTATATAGTATTACAACTATAGCAAATGTACTAAACCATTTATTAATGTTGTTGTAGGCACTTTATTCCTACATTATCGTTTATCAGCGAAGCGGTATTAACCATTATTGTTTTATCCCTAAAATATTCGTCTTTTTTTAATCGAATTTTACTCTTTATCGTAAAGTTCATTTTTTCATTTATCATACGAAGCACGTTTCCAATAATTAATTTTGATAATAAATTTTAAAATTTTACAAAAAAAAAAATACAAAAATGTATATTGTGTATTATTTTATCTGTCTCTTCTGATAGGTTCTGAAAATTACAATATTGTAAAATAAAGCATACTGTCATGTATGCGCGCGCACCTGTAAAACGCTCGATTGACGTCAGTCACAAAGATATTTTTAGTTTATAGTAACTGTTTTGAAAAAAGAAAAAGAAAACAATATAAGTTTTCTTTTCGAATTGCAATTATGTGTACTGTAACCTCTTCCCCGTGATTATTTGCACATTTTCATCACTTCATATTCCACGCCCGATATTCCACGCCCGCGCGTTTCCTTTTTTTCCTTCTCATTACTACCTACCACTATCGATATTCCGGCTGGTATGATAAGAGGGGTTGGCGATGATATTTACGATAAGGCGATCTTCGGGGTTACGTGGGCGCTGTAGAGTGGTGGGTGTTATGCACAGGGTTGGTTTATTTTAAACTCATGTCATCACGCATTATTCGGTACACCATGAGTCAATATCGGCCTCCGCCTTGATCGCTCTTTATGCTTGCTTAGTTAAGATATCCGTGAGATGAATAAAGTATATTGAAAGAAAAAAGATAGAAGAGGAATATAAAATGGCAGGGATACGCAAGAGTTGGATTGGGTTGAATTTAATATTATCAATAAATTTATTTGATTTATAATATTTTAAATTAATTTCAATTTATATAATTGATTTGTTATCGACGAGTTTCTTTTTGCAAAAGTCTTTAAAACACAATTTAAATTTCTATTATATATATGACTGTACAACTATTGTAAGAACATTGTAAGAACATTTATGCATTTATAATTACAGTTAATTATTCTGGAATAGTTATTTTAGTTATTTTTCGATAACAATTTATCGCAATTGCCTGCTCATTGTCAGTAATAGAGCCACGTCATATAAAGAAGTTTATTATACAAAGTCAGAAATAATAGAAGGCGCTGTTTGCCGCCCTGGTTAAATCAGTAATAACATTTAGGCATTGCGTACATTGCAAATAGGAATTCACTTATCGACATAGTTTGTGATTTCAGTTTTTACATCATTGAATGTAATTAGCCGGAGGTGTTATATTACAGTTATCAATACATACTAACATCAATTACGATTTTATTCGCAAACTGAGTGAAATCGATAATAATAATGTTGCTTGTTCCACCATGACATATTGCAAATCTCATTATAGGTGTGGATGAAATTAGTTGACGAAATTCAGACATGTCGATGGTAATTCATCGCTATCGATCCTTTGGCGGATCCAATATAAGTGCATGTGAGTGTGTGTGCTAGAAGTACCGGAAGTAAAGAGCATTGAACATTAATCGGCGCGCACGTTTCATTAACAAGATATATATGTCGGTCAAGGGCCTCGACGCGAGAGACGCCCTCATCATTTCGGGTCATGATTCATTGGCGTCCTCATGTTCCCAGCGGAACTGAAACTGCTGATCGCATTATGCATACGCGTCAATTTGCCTTCGTTTGCATTAGACGAGAGCGGCACGTCTTCTCGGGAGGTTCTCTGTCTCTTTTTTTCATATTATTATGCATGCATACTTGGCGTGAAAAGCGTTGCCGCATAGAAAAATTCACTTAAATTCCTGGGAAATGCAAAACGTTATTAAAAATGATAACGTGACAATCGGTGGATAATTTACATTTTTTTCTATTTTAACGACATTTCTTTTTTTATTTCACCGCAATTCTTGGTAAAGCACAAATGTTAAAGGAATTCTTGAGTATTTGAATTTTCGAACGTTACTTTGCATTTTTCTTGAGTACACGGGCTATCCCAGAATGCATTTTCCCCGAGTATGTACGAGCTGTCCTATAGAACGCATTTCCTTTCAGCTATAGATCTTCTCATGAATGCAGAATTCATTTTTCTCTAGTTACATTTTACTGACAAAATATTAAAATGCGGGGAATTTTTAACAATGATAATTAAAACAATTTATTGAATTGAACTTCAGGGAGAATCAATGAATAAAAAATAAATTATTCTAGTCAGTTTAAAACAGAGATTTTCAAGATAACATAAATTTATTACGAGATCTATCAACTTGCTGTGAGAATTAAGAAACAAACGATTGTGATCACAGCTTAAAAGATTAATGAAAAAAGATTAATTAAAATTATCGTTGTTAGTCACGTGCAATTTTTGAGATCGCATAAAACTTCAAGGAATTTGAATGTCTACATAAATTAAGAGTGTATAATATTAAATGAAAATATCCTTCTCCTCTTATTAGAGAAAGGAAGAGAAAGAGAAAACAATTAGTACACTTTCAGTAACAATAAAAGTAACACGTTGAATAACACGGGAAGACATTAATCTTCCGTTTCATCCGAAATATATAGACAGACAATCATCTTTGTCTATCTTTACAGGGAGGAAGTGCAAGAGCATACGGTGAGATGGAACGCAAAGTTCGAGTTTTTATGCAAGATGAGCGCCAATGCGTCCACGGGCGTGCTCGATCCATGCATTTTAAGGATATCTGTGAGAAAGGTGAGAGCAAACTTCTTTCAGGTGTGAATATTCGGGCTGAGAAACGAAATGAAAGGAAGACAGAGATTTTTCTCAACTTTTGTTTTCACAAACATTTTACTTTTCACTCACATTCTCACGCTCGAAATACCAGAGCAAGAATTGACTAAGAAAAATGTCTTTATCTGATTTATTAATTCTTTATTTTATTTGTAAAATTATAATAAATAATATGAAAAAATTAATAAATGATGAAAGATAAAAGTTGTATTTCTTGTTGTAAATATTTGCTAATTTGTTTAAAAAATATTCTAATAGTTTTATTATTTACATTTAGTTAATTAGTTCGAATAAATGCAAATGTATGAATCTCCCTCTTGAAAAGATTCAGAATATTCATACATTGAAGTTATATATTTCTTTTTATTACAAAATTAATTTTCATCGCGTTCTTACAAATATATATTGTAATTAGACAAATGGTTAGTTTTAAAAATATGTTCTTATGAAGCTCTTTTGTACGACAGGAATTAAAAGGAGGCAGGTCCTTCCAGAAATTGGGCTTCACCGATTTAAACCTGGCCGAATTCGCAGGAGCTGGCTTCTGCCGAAGAAGATGTCTCCTGGAGGGTTACGATGCGCGACATCGTCAGGATAATTCTATGCTGCGCGTAGCCATAAAAATGAATATGCTCTCCGGAGATATCCTATTTAAAGTGTAAGACACTATCCGTTTTTCTGAAATGCTTTATTATAAATTGTTGAATGTGTTTATGTGAAAATTTATAATCTAAATTCTTGGATTTGTTATATTATAGTATATATAACATACGTAATCTTTAGTACAGTCTTTACTTTGATAAGTTAGTACATTGGATTAAGTTAGTGGACTTAAATCCAATAAATTTAACTAATTTAACTTTTAAATGGAGCCTTAATGAAAAATATTCTCTAAAGTGCATTTCTGCTATTTTTTTTTCTTTTATATCACGCGAAAATGTGGTATAGAATAGAAAAAAGCAGGAACGGAAAATAAGGCAACAGACTCTATATTTGCTTTGTAATTATTTCTAATTTTTTACTGAGTCCAATTGAAAACTGATTCAAAAGAGGAAATATTTTTGAACATTAAAAAAATTTAAGACATTTTCAAATATTTACATGAATGCAAAATTTTAAGAAAAAGTAGTATTTAGATTATTTTGTGTATACATATAGTTTTCCTCTTTTTCGTAAAAAAAAGTTAGAAAATGAAAAATTATAAGTATATTAATATATTGACACGTAAGAAAACACAAAGAAACTGTTTTAACAATCTACTTATCTATTTATTTATTTGTCTACTTATCTCTACAATTAGCAGTTTAACAGATAAATTATAATCCATGGTCTGGAATAACAAAAGTATTAAAAAAGAAATGTTACATTCAATATGCCTGGATTCATATTGGTTCTGTCTTACGAAAAGTACTTTATAAATAATTTTTTTCTTTGCTTATAAACATAACATTAACATATAAATTAAATACAGTGTTGTAAAATATAAATACAGAGTTATAATAATATGAACTATAAAAATGAATAACCATCTCTTGATAATTATAGAAAATAATTATCTATGAAATATATTACGACTGCATTTTGCTTGATAATAACAGAATGAACAAATTGAGCAATAAATTGATACAATTGAATCAGGCGGACAACCTGCACGATTTACTAATGCCTTTGTTAAATTTATCATGTAATTATTCACAAACAACGAATAGGACATATTAGGCTATATAGAATCCGGTTATCTTGTGCTATAAAGAATTTCTTTTCAATAAGGCTCTTTTTTAAAAGTTAAGATTTAATTTTATTTCTACTGTATCTGCGATTTTAATCGAAAGAACATGGACATTCTTTTGATTAACAAATTAATCAATTATTGCCTCAGCCCTTCCCCATCATTGAAACAAACTCAGTTGGCGGTGCCCGGAGTGCAAGGTGCACCTGGTGTTACCGGTGACGAAGTAACGGCATCCGAGAGATGTTCTAATCGAGAGGATTATGTATCTACTGGTTCCTTAGCGGGAAGTATAGCAAGTGCCAGCAGTGGTTTCGGCAGTCTTCCTAAGAAGAGGCCTGCACTCTTCACTTCCGGTAATTTGCTCGCTTTCTATGCCGTATCCGATATATGTATAAAGTATGTTTGATTTATAAAACAGATTTCATATTTAATAATAATAAAAAAAAACATTTGTACATAGCTAAATACAAAGCATCGAGGATAATATAAACCTAAAATTACAAATTATAATCCTGGAATATATTCTAGGAAATAAAGGAAATTTATTTTAATGAGTCATATATTAATTAGAACTTCTCAGCGGAGCAGAAACATATGATCCGATGACTCTTAGCGAAATCGTACCTTCGGCGGTTCCTGTGGAGACTCTAATAGAGGCACATACGGAATCTGGGCATTCGCGCAACAGCAGCAATACGAGTCAACTTAGCAAAGGGTCTGGCTACGGTTCCTTGAATTCGCACAGTCAGCATAGCAGACAGAGCAGTAGCGGTGATAGCGGTCACATTAGGTAAGACTTATTATGCGTTTCGACGATTCTCATTTATTTTGAACGACTTTCGAAATCTTCAGATTATCTGATATCATAATATAAAACAAAACAATCAGAAATGTTTATCTTGAAAAATATTTTCAAGTTGAGCATAATCAACGATGACGTCTAGAGTTTTCATTCCCTATTGACAAAAACGATTTAAACTTTTCATATTGCATTATTTTTCACATTCAATTACATTGAAATAGGAAACTATATAGAATTTTAATTGTCAGTTATATGACATGAAAAGATTAAGATACCTAGTTCACCACACTTTCCTTCTAATCTACTTACGAATTGCCTAATTTTACTATTTCTGTAATAACAACAACGAGCATGAGTTGAAAATAAGATTTAAAAAATTGCACGAAAAAATACGTCTGTTTATAGTAATAACTGTAAATGATTAATAATGCGTGAATGATAAATGATCAATACATTTCATTCATAACATTTTACTACAACAAACTAACGATTTCTTTTTCATAATGCAAAACACTTGGCTTTATTAATAAAATACTTCAGCTACAATTATTACACTATATCTTGCTTTAAATATTCGCCTTTATCTTGACTCTAAAAAGATATTCTATCTTCAATCTTTAACGATATCAACCTTCTATATACTAATCGATAAAACTTGCTTGTTGAACAAACTCGCATTGAAAAAAGTGTCAGATTGAATTAATTGAAATTCTGGTTGAAAATGGATAAATTAAAATTTCTCCTGGTTAAATCTGCTAGATCTTCTAATTGATGAATAGATTCTTCTAATTGATACAATCGGAATTTAGATTGATATAATCAGAATTTTCTAGTTCGTCTATTTTTAATCAGACATTTTGTCATAGTGTATAATTTTTTAAATAGCCAACTATTTTTATTTTAAATTAATTATATGAATAGGATTATATATGACGATATAAACGGTCTGACAAATGATTAACAAAAGAGCGAATCAATAACGCGAGAAAATCTTCTGTTTTTGCTCCAGCCTCAAGCAATCTCTTCATTCTCAATTTCTCGACCATGAGACTCTGGACTCTCTATCTTTTTTTTACTTTACGTATGTCTTTCTTTCTTTTTTTATCTTTATTTATATGAGTTTATGATTTTTGCATGCTTGTACATTTGTGTTGTGATCTTTATAGGTCACCTTCCTGGCCGGTATGGGCACCACGAATCCTCAACTCCTCTCAGAATTTATCCACACAACCGATTGCCTATCGACCTGATACCTGTATTGAACCTCTATCATTGCATCCATCTTCTCTGTCGCACATAGCCTCCAGAGCTCGATTCTGGTCGGCATCGAGCCCTCTCTCCTCTCGTATTGGTCCAACAGATATGGAAGATCCGATGAAAGTAGACATTATTGCGAAGAACATTTATTCGGTCGGAAAGCAGCCACTTTATGAAATCGAGAACGGTTTCTTAAATGACAGCGATTCACGCGAATGTCGCAATGACGCGAACACAGATACCCGGATAGCGCCCGGGATTTTTAGGGTGCCAGACATGCCGCGACACTCGCGCAAGAATTACGAGAGGAACAGCTTTGAGGCGCGTAACGAACGTAACGTGATAATGAGCTCGATCGCCAAGGAGAGTAATGGGCAACAGAGTAACGTCTTCCCAATCGCAAAGTCGAGAATTAGTGCCACAGGTTGGCGCAGCATGTCGAAGACCTGCGATTGCATCGAAAAGGGCAAAACAAGCCCGGTGTTGCGACTGGTCGATCAGGCCAGAGCTGTGTCCTCTCCTGATCCTCTCCATAGGCCTGACAATCAAAGAGCCCCACTACGTCCCACGACGACAGCTCAAACCCTCAGGTAGGTTTTATTCATCAGCGAGTTTTTAGTTGTGCGATTTTTTTACAGGGGACGATCTCGGAAGAGTCTCTTTCCCTTTATTCTCCTATTTCCCTGGCGTTTTTGTGTCTTGTCTACTTCCAGTTTTAAAATCCTCGAAACGATTCTATGTATCGTAATATCTGGCTTTATCTTGAATGATTAATATCCTTCTGCCAAAAAATGCACATTGACAGAAGGTATCTAGAAAGGAAATATTTCCGTGAATGAATATTTATAACAATGTATTTGTTTTATTGTGATTAGTCGATGGTGTGTTGCATTTTATTCTTGCATTAAATGGTCTTTATTCGAAGGTGAGGTCATCTCACTTACAAATCGTTAACGACTGTATGTCCGGCATTCCAGAGTAATTGATGATTCCATCCTGAAACGAACCAACAGATGTTCGAAGAAGCAATTCCCCCAGCGGGGGAATATGCATTTTTTTCCCTCGTATAACACATCGTGTTTTCTATATTCAGAATGTTAAAAATATATTCCCCAATCAAGTTATATTCATCAATCTTGCTTTATATTAATCACTTAATTTGTTTTACGTATTTATTTTCTCGATATCTTTTATTTTGCTGTAATTTTTATTTAATTTTGTTTAGAGAGTAAAGTGATGCTTGAGACAAAATAAATAATGATAATTCAATAAAAAAATCCGCGTCTAAAGTTCATTTACGCGTAATCGATTCGCTTAAATTTTATCACAAAAAATTAACGATACATCATACATGATCGATCATACATATAATATAAGAAGAATATAACAGATATATTAAATTATGTATAGGCATGTACATTTCACTTAATAAAAATTGATGAATTTTTGAATAAATTTAATATTATGCTGCTGCTTAATTATCTTCCTATCTTATTTTTATCATATGAGTGCAATGACTTATGTTTCATTAACCATGCTCGACCATTATCATTTCTGTATGCCTTCGATGTGAGCTAACTAAATATATGCTACGTTACATGGCAGTTCCAAGTAAGGAAAGTTATCTAATGTCACAGTAAGGGGAATTGTACGTCTAACATATAAACATAATATTAAGGAATGTGTGTTTCGTTAAAAATTCATTGTTATTCTCACGTGATATACAATTTATCCTCATATTTTTTTACAAAATCAAAATTATTATTAACATTTATTATTTAACATTTATTACGTTTCCAAACTATATTAAGATTTAATTAAGTAATTCCTTAGCTATCATAATAATAAAATTAAACCTAATATAAATATCTTATAAATTAAAAAAGATGGCAGAAGAAAATTCTGGGAGTTATTAATTGGAAAAGTATTTAAGATTTTGATTTCTTCAATCTTCATTATATAGTTCTCCTTATATAGTTATTTTCTTAATTTTCGATAAATTAATAAAATAAATAATGAAAAATTGAAACTGCATCTCAATGAATAAACACATGAAGTACGAAGTAATGCATTGTCATGCAGGAAACAATATCGTTATTAATCCAAATTTAATTCTAATTAAAAGCTAATTATTTTTATACAAATAAAGAAAAATACGAATCGGGGTGTATAGTGTATGTATGCGGTAGCTATGCTTCCAGTTTGGATGGCTTTGTGAATCCTTGCAGGGGTATTGGCGGAGGTCACCGGAAGTTGCTGGACGGGGCGGGGGGCAAGCTGGCTACGGTCGCCACCAGTCCAGCAGACTCTGAGGAGTCCTCGTTAGGGGTACCGGAAGTCGCGCCACCAATTTCGCAGCATCGAAACAGCATTACCCCACCGTCAGTCCATGCTTTCGTCTTACGTGTACCTTTCCTTTACGCATATTTGTTTTCCACTATTGCAAAAACAGTAGTTTCTAGCCTCTATATGAAGACTTAACACTGTATCAGCATACTTTAATCCGAAGCAGGCAATAAGTAGCTTGATGCATGCATAAAGCATGCATAAATATAACTTTTTGCTATTTTCTCTGCAAAGCTTCCAATTACAATTCACATGCAATTCACTGTTAATATTAACTCTCTCACGATTAATATTTAAACTGTAATATAATAGATAAAAAAAAGTAACTCAATTATTACCAAATTAATGTTTATTTGATTTGGTAATAAAGTAATAAATGAATGTTACTTTAATGATGTATTTGTGATGTTTATCATAATAGAAAACTGAAGGCGGATTAAATATTAGTCGAAAAAATAAATTTGGATTTCAGGTTGATTACTTATATCAATTACTTTGTCTTTATATATTTGTTGTAAGTCTTTGAATCGCACATTTAAATTCGATGCAAAGCGTATTTTATTTCTCTGATGTAAAAAAAAAATCGCGATAAATCAATTATTAAATAAATAACTATTTTGCAAGAGAAATGAAAATAATTATTTGTTTTAATTACATAGTGGAATGAAAATGTGATGAAGTGAGCTTTGAATTAGCTATAATCAGGAATTTCCGAGAATAAGCAAACCTCAATAAGAGTACTTAAGTGCTCTCCAAGTTTGCTTCTACTTGTTGCGAATGAGCAAGCTACGAATGAAATTTTATTTCACCGTGTTATTCTTAAAACACTAGGATCCAGCACTTATCATTGTTTGAAAATCGATCTAGGTCATCAATGTTAAAATTTTCCTTGTTTTTCGAAAGTTGATGCGTCCAGATTCGGAAGCAACGATAATTTATTTTAATATTCTGCAGCATCTTATAAACTTCTTGTTTTCAAATTTGCATGACTTGTTGCATCAAAACGTATGCTTTTCAAAAGATGCAGTTTTGCTACAAAAATTCATTCAATAATACTTTTACGTATCATATCTACTTCTCTCTGTTAAAGTATCACAAATGATATATTCTATTAATACTACTATTAACAATACATTTATTACTTTACTTGGACTATGTCTCACATTCATGTGAACTATTTCATTGCTGAACGTAATTTATTTTATATATTAAGTTTTAATGACAGGTTCTCTTACTAATTTTAGAGTTATAATCAATTGCTATTAATAAAATAATTTTCAACCCTTGGACTCAAATAGATTAAAAGTGTAAATATTATTCCTTAATAAAATTTAAATTGATTTATTTGTTTCTTTGTTTTCTATGTTTATTTTTTGATAATATTTAAGTCTTCAAAATTGAAAAATTAAAATTATAACAAATAATTGCTTCATTATTGAAGTCGTTTTCTAATATTTCTAATATTTAGAAATATTAATGTTATTAATATCATAACCATTATATTTTGTTTTTATTTTTAAAGAACTTACTTAACAGCAACTTTTATTTATTAAGAAAATTTTTTTAATAACTTGTTTTAATTAACATATAATAATATATACTCTTAATCGCAAAACAACTGGTCACTACAAATATATATTTACGATCATTTTTTCTTTCTGGGAGTTTCTTTTTTTTTTCATTTATTCACTTACTTAATTAATCATTTTCCCTAACATCCACACGTATAATTAATTCTATCGACCACTACCCGCACGAAAAGTCGTCTCCCTTATATTAAATTGATTGTTAGTTCTCCTCACGCAGAAAAACATCGGACATTCACGTCTCAACATGTTTTCTTTCTTTTAAATAAGTGTATTATACATCATCACTTGATCAACATTCATCTCAAGAGTTAAACAGATGCGAGCATATCAACAAAGAATCTATTGTTTAGGAAATAATTACTTTCCTTAATTTAAAAAAAAATTTTAAACTCTATACAATTATTAAGTACAGACTTGACATATCATATTTATTGCTTGTAAATATAACTATGACACTACTCTGCGGAGAAATCAGTGTGATACGGAATTGAAATATTAGATAGAAACTTTATATCTTAGAGATATGTATTTTTTTTTTGCCTGAACTTATATATTTTAACTAAGATTGAACGAATAAAAGTATGCGTGCGCGCGCGCGCGTGTGTGTGTGTGTGTGTGTGTAAACATAACGTAAAAACGTAAAAAGAAATCTTTGATCAAATCTTGCTCGAAAGCAAGACTTAAATAATTATTTCATTAAGGAGTTATACCATTCTGACAAGATCTAAAATAAGCACAAATTTAATAAATTGAATGATTTTTTAAAGTCAACTATTGCGTAGAATTAATTTCTATTTTAAAAATATATTATGTCGAGAGTCGAGAGATAAAATTAATTCTTATAAATCATGTATCAGATTTGTTCTTACTATTATTTGTATTCAAGCTGTTCAATCTTTTATAGTCTTCTGATTTCATCGAAGAGCAGTGTTGGCACTTTATTCCTGCTTTTTATGTCCAGTGCTCGATTTAATACGAATTAGAACGATTTAATATGATTTAGAATATGTCGCGATATGAGATGAAAAATGAATGTAATTTGTACATTATTATTCGCAGGAATCCTTCCGGCGGTTCAGGTCTCAGCGAAACTGGATCCCTAGATCGTGCTAAGGCTGCGCTAGAGCGTAGAAAAAAAGCGGAAGATGGTGCTGGTAATCCTATCCTCTGTAGAGTTGAAGTCACCAGGCCGAATCCTGATTCTCTTATCGACGAACTGCTTAAAGCAACGAATTTGGAGCAGACGGATCTTGAAAGTTCCGAGAGTATGTTTTTTTTAATTTATTGTATTTATTATATCCATTAAAAAATGACAGAAAATAGAACGGAGAATTTTGCATCTTTTGTTCAATTGATTTTTTTCTTGATTTTCTACACTGGAAAGTAAGAATAATCGAAAAAAAGGTGAATTTTATAAATAAATAAATATTTGCATTTTGCAGCAACTGGTCTTCAACTCTTCATTGCGAAAGACGGCACGACCGCGCTTGGTAGTCATGAAGTAAAGAGTCAGATGCCTGCCGGTGTGTTCAAGCAAGTGGTAATGGAAGAGAACAACAGGTAACACGAAGCCATCACCACAAGACGGCAGTACGCAAGACAGGCCAGTGCCACGTTCTCGTTGGCTCTGGTGCCAGAGCTCGTCTATGAGGCCTACGAGCCGCGGTAGTTACAAGAGATGATGATATGAATGAGGAAGGAAATTATTGAGAGAAGTGGCCAAACGTGATACGAAGTACATCCTCGTTAGATCGTTCTAGACTGTATCTCTTCTCCATATAAAAAAAATGATGCCTCTAAATAGTCGAACTAATATTCATCGAAGTAGTATGTTCGAGTTGGTTACTTCGTGTGAAATTTATTGTAAGGATTCGAAAGATCGAGGCTGATATTTATGTGCGCATTTAAATATGAATAATCGAACAGTCATATGCAGCTTGCAAGATTGTTAACTGCGTTTTAACAGTCGATCCTCCAAGATAATTTTCATACGTGGATTTTGCGTTTTTTAAAATCCCGTGCAACGAACGAAATCTATGTATAGTGTTGCTGTTCATGACAAACGACCTCAGCTGCGTGCACAATTTAAGGACGATATTAAATGAATACATGTTTTCGGAACTATTTCAAAAGACAGATATACGTATTTTCTTTCTTATAAACGAAGCATAATGACAATGAATCAAGCGTGTTTCGCTTAAAAGAAAAGTGTTAGCCTGATTCCACCAATGTAAGATTTTAATCTTTAATCGTTCAATTTACTTTTTATCTTTTTCTAATTCTAATAATTAAAAAAAAAGATAAACAGTAAGTTAAATCGAAATTAATGTTAATCTTACATCGGTAGAACTAGGTCTTGATCAATAAAATTTGACCGAGAGGGAGTACAGAATATAAAGTAAAGAAATATAGTTACAGAAAAATAATGACAGGTGAAATACGGTCAAGGTCCGACGAAACACAAAGGGAAGTAACATCGAGCAAAATTTAAGCGCCAATTTTATTTATGCACCTACAGCACCTACGACAGCGATATAATCTTGATAATGTGAATACACTATAAAACGACTTGTGAAGTTAGCGTGAAAAGAAATATCAAATTGAGACATTAAATATCGTGATTGTATCTTTATATGAAAGTATTCTTGACAGCATTTCTGACAATATTAATCAAATAGAGAATGTTTCCCCAAGATGGCTCAAAATGATTTCTAGGAGAAGCATCTCGAGGAAATTACATTCTATCTTGCTTTTAAATTGTAGTTTTATCATTTCTGCGTATTAACAATTTATTTTGCTTCATACTATAGCATATATTTTTTTATCATTTCTGGTTATTTTCTGTTGTGCTCTTTTATCGTTTACGACATCCTCATATGTAATTAATCTAAAAGTGCGTTTAAAAAGCACGCTAAAGATGAAATCAGTTCGAATAAAAAACTTAGTCAGAGAGAAAAATATAAATTTATAATTTTAAATATATTGCAGGTTGCGTTTGTGGGACTATGAAAGCGTAAATCTATAATTTGTATATAAATATATTATTGTTTTCAAGTAACTTTGCCTTGAAAACGACATAATTTTGACTTCCTGAACAATTCCGTTTCGCGATCTGTAATATTTCGAAAAAAGTCGATTCACTTTTTTTCCAATAGAAATAAAATTGAAGATATTTTTTTGTATAATATAAATATTTCAGGACTGAATATATACATATACATAATACATACATATTCATATATATATATATA